CCCGGCGTGGAAGGACAGGGAGGAAGAGCAGGAGCAGGCCAGCCAGCGCGGCGAGCTGGGCCCGCAACAGTCATGGCGGTCAGGCCGACGCAGGACCTGGCACCAGTTTGTGAGGGCGATGCAGCTAGTGGAGGAGGTGGCGAAGAGGGAGCAGTGCACCCCCATCCAGGCGGCCAAGCTGGTGGACCAGTGCCTGGAGGCACGGCAGGTGCGGGGTTGCATGCGCGGCGCGGTTGGCTGGGGAGATTGGTAGGGCCGCAAGGGTTGGTTGCCAAGCCTCTCAGTGCTGTGTTGCCGATGCTGCCCTGCTGTTGCAGGTGGGCAAGGCAAGGAAGAAGAGCTTTGCTTGCCTGGGCCGCTCAGACAAGGCAGAATCGGTGCGTCAAATGCTTGGCCTGCCGGCCAAGCCGGAGAGCAGCTGACGGTGAGCCTGGTTGGCCTTGCCGCCGACAACTTGTACGCGGGGCGAGGGAATCCATTAGGCTGGCTGACTGGCCGCTACCTTCACCAGCCCGGCCCACCCACCCGTGGATCTCTGGGCCAGGTGGCTGCTATGTGCCGCACGGCAGCGCCGCCCACTGCCTGGCCGCCAGAGTGCAGTTTATGGTTGCATTGCGCTGGCAGAGTGTAATATCAATGAATCCATCGCAACAAGAAGACCGCCAGCTCGCCCCCGTCGCACTCAGCAGGCCCAGAAAATGCATGGGCTGGCCTGGGCAGCAATGCTGTGGTTTTGTCAGGCACAGCAGAACACGCTGACGGCAGGGCAGACCCAGGAGGTGGTGCAGGGCACTGCTGCCAATGCTGATTTGCATGCCATCCCGGTTTGGGGACCCTGACACCCTACTGAATGAGGCCCTGGGAGGGCAGGCCCAGAAAATGCATGGGCTGGCCTGGGCAGCAAAATGCAAATGTTGCTTTCTGCATTGCACGTGGGTGGCAGGTGGCAATCAAGGTGCTCAGGGCTTGCACTGCTGCAATTTCCCCGCTTTGATACACGCTTCATGAGTTCCTCTCTAGCTTTTGTCGCTGCAGGCGAACGTTAATGGCTCCGTTTTCGGTAAGTCAATGCCCAAGGTGCAGCTGCGGTTGGCCGCCTACTCCAGTCTGCCCTGAAATCTCTTCGCATGCGTCATGATTCGTATCTGAGCTTGACGAATGGGGGGAGGATTGCGGCCGGGAGGGTGTGTCAGTTGCGCGCCAGGCTGGACGGTTGCCGCGCGCACAGAGGCCCCCCGGGCCGTTCCAGTAGCCCCCCCCACGCCATCAACGAAGCGCACAAGTCGCGCGGGCAGGCGGAGACGCTGCAGCGGGGGGGGGCGGGGGATGGCGCGGCGCGATGGGCGCCCGGGCGCTCGGGGAACGCCGCCCAAAGGCCCCTGAGTGCGCGCAGGAGGGGAGTCGGCGCGGCGCGGCGCCGGGAACGGGGCGGGGAACGCGGGCCCCGGGGGCGTCCCCCCACCGTGTTTTCCCACCCGCCCATCCCATGCAAGGGCAAGGGCAAGGGGCTGTGGCGCCAGTACACCGGCAGGCTCTGCCTCCAGCTCGTGTCAGTGGATGCTGAAGTGGTAATGTGACCTTTGGGTTTGCCGCCCGAGCCCTCTGAAGCCCCGCCACCGCTTTGGGTTCGGCCGACGGCGGGTTAGGAATCGTGGGGTTAACGCAGGATTACAAACTCGGTGCAACCAATAGTGTGGGGGCAGGAGGAGACTGAAACATGTATTTGAGCAGAGGAAAATGGAAGAGAAACGGTCGCGATTTGGTGAGAGGGAAAGCTGGGAGCTTGGCATCAGGCGGCCACCCCTCGCGGCCCCGGCGGCGCCTCCTCCACCGCCGCCAGCACCACCCCGCTGCCGCCCGCCGCGGGCTCCAGGTCGCCCAGGCTGCTCCATGGCGCATACACCACCTGCTGCAGGCACAGTCCCCTGGCCTCCGCCACCTGCCAGCCGCGGAATGCGTTGCGCTGCGCGGCGCTGCGCGCCCGCTCGCCTCCCGCCAGCGCCGCCGCAATGTCGTCGGCGCCCAGGGAGCCGCCCCCCACCGCCAGCAGCGCGCCCGTCATGTGCCGGACCTGCTTGTACAGGAACCCGGTGCCCGTCACCTCCAGCCTGCACGCATGGCAGAGCGGGATGCGGTTGGTAAGGCATTTCTTTTTGTCTTCCGTTTTCTACCTTCCTTTTAAGGGTTCACCACCAAAACGCACGCCCCTGCCGCCAGCACGCGCCCAGCCCACCTGGCGCCGCCCTCCAGCGGCAGCAGGCGGTACGACAGGACGGTCTTGACGGGCGACTTGCGGGTGGCGTCGGGGCCGAGGTTGGCAAAGCGGGAGAAGTCGTGGGTGCCCACAAACAGTGCCGCCGCATCGGCCATGGCGTCCAGGCGCAGGCGCTCGGGGCGGCGCGGGTGGCAGCGCCAGCGGTGCAGGAAGGGGTCGGCCACGGGGTCCAGGTGCAGGTCATAGGCGTACGTCTTGCGGGACGCGTACCGCACGTTCCAGTCCAGCGGTACCTCCTGTACCGCGACCGCCCGGATGTCGGGCGGCATCAGCGCGTTGAGCGCGCGCAGCAGCGGCGCCGCGCCCTGCCGCCGGGCGCAGCAGAACTGCACCACCTGGCCGCGGGCGTGCACCCCGGCGTCGGTGCGCCCCGCAGCCTGCACCCTCAGCGCCTGCCGGCCCTGCCCCGTGGCCCGGCACAGCGCCTGCTCCACCCGCAGCTGCACGGTGGGCTTGGCGCGCCGCCCCTGCGGCGCCGGCTGCAGCTGGAAGCCCCAGTAGGCGGTACCATCATACTGCAGCACCGCCGCGTAGCTGTGCAGCGGCGGCGAGCCCTCCGCCTGCCCAGCCCGCCGCGGTGACGGCGAGGCCTCGAAGGGCGGCGGCAGCGAGGCCTCGCAGCCGCTCAGGCGCGGCGAGTGCGCCTGCGGGCGCCGCCCCTGGCCCCCTCCTCGCCCTCCCCCTGCTGCAGTCAGGGCGGCGAGGCGGCGCCACAGGCAGTCAGCAAGGCCGCCCTCCTGGCGCCCGGGTGGCAGCAGCAGCAGCGGCAGCAGCAGCAGCAGCGGCGGCGGCGGCGGCCACCTACCGCTGCCCTGCCAGCCGCGAGCGGCACGCGCACCGCCACATCCGCGTCCGCCTGCAGCGCCTCGCCCTCCTGCTTGCGCTGCGCGCGGGAGATGAGGAAGCTGCCCACACAGATGGTGGAGGCGCCCACCCACCACTGCAGGCTGGTGGCCTCCCCAAACACGGCGCGGCCCAGCAGGCCGGTGGAGGAGATGTTGGCAGCTGCAGGCAGGCAGGAGGCGGGGCGGCGGCGGCACGGGCGGGGTGAGGTGCAGGTCGGGCACAAAGGGACTGCAGCCTGCATTCACAGCGGCAGGCACGCAGCAACCACCCACCGGTTGTTGCGGCGGTGGCTGCCAGCGAGCTGGTGTAGCGCAGGGCCCGCCCGTACAGGACGAGCATCAGGGCGTTGCACTGCAGCGAGGGAGGTGTGGAGGATGATGATTCGGACAGGAAGGTACTGTGCCACCATGGTCCCCTCCCCATCGGTGATGATGCGGCAGTTTCGGCGGTGGGCGCGACTCACTACGAGCAGCAGCACGTAGCAGGTGATCTGCACGGGCAGCTCCAGGTGCTCGAGGCCGGCAAGCTTGCCAAACACCGCGGCGACGGCGCCGCTGACCCCAGCCAGCGAGCACAGTGCCACGCCGTACAGGCTGGACACCCAGTAGCCCATGCTAGGTGCAGCCTCGCCGTGCGGGGAGCTGCGAGGGCAGCGGGTGCAGGGACGCAGTTGGGCCATGCTGGCGGCAGCCTCAGGCGCTGCCAGGCAGCGGCGGCAGGCGGCGGCTTGTGCACCAGCACCGATGGTGGCCCCACGGCGTCCAAGAGCTTCGATTCATATGCCGCATGCAACAAGCATCGGCGCAACAAGCAGCACAGCAATCTCCCGCGAAATCTGTGGGACCACTGTGTGTCTGGCGGGCAGTGCACTGTGCAGCGATACATTTTGCAGCAGCATCACGCCCCAGTCCTACACCAGCATCCTACACACCGTCACTTGCAGGAGCTATGCAGCAGCGGCAAGGGCGCTCAGCGGCCCCGCCCCACCTGCGAGCGGTTTGTGACCGCCTGAAACCGCTACAATGCCAACGCGCCATGCATGAGACAACCCAAGGGACCGCCGCTGAGTTGGCGCTGCCGCCGCTCCCTCATGCAGCCATCCCGGTGCGTGTCACAGCACAAGAGGTGTTGCAGGCCAGCAGTCAAGCCTATAAATGGCCAAACACTCAAAATCAAGATTATACATCACTCCCACACTGCCCCTACTCATGTGCGCGCCCACACCTGGTGCGGCACAAAGGCACCGGTGCCGACCGTGGGCTCCAGCACCACCTGCGCACATGCAGCTCGGGACGTCAGCGGCGTCCCAGGGCGGCCCCAGAACAGAGCTGCCGCTGTAGTGAGAGGTGGTGGGCCCTTTGGGTGCGCAACCTTCCCCAACATCCCCACCATGCACTCGCCGCCAAACTGGCCTGGTTGGGCGCGGCCCCCGCCGGCTTCAGGCCGCCCTCGCCGATGGCGCCACGCTTGACCGGCACGCCGCCCCGCGGCTGGTTGTCCCTCCACCAGGGAGCGCGCGTGGGCTCCGAGGCGTGCAGCTGGTAGTCCAGCAGGGCCTTGACATCCTCGGGCGGCAGCGGCTGCAGGGAAGGGGGGCAGGGTGGCAGGGGTGACCGACCGGCGGCATGAGGAGCTGGGCATTGGGGTGAGTCGCCATTTGTTTGAGGTGGCTGCGTGGCATTGTGCCAGGACCCCCAAACCTGCCTGCGGGTGCTATGGGACGCATCACGGCAGCACCCAGATCACAGTGCAGCTTCTCTGCCAAATGTGCCCTCCCACTCACCACCGCCACCTTCTGGCTGTGCGCCACGTGCAGCTTGGAGGAGAGCTCCTTGAGGTGGGCGGCCCTGCTGACGCCCTGCAGGTTGGTGCGGTCTGCCAGCGGTGCAGGGCGTGCAGCCGCGACGCTGGTGGGTGCTGCCGCCGGCGCAGCGGCGGGCGCCAGCAGGCCAGCGTCGGCATAGACGGTGAGCCCCGTGTGGGCTGGGGGTGCCAGGGAGGGAGGAGGGGCCACCGCGGCGAGCTGCTGTGCCAGAGTGGGCACTGGCGGGTGCTGGGACGGGTCTGTGGGGAAGTAGAGGGTCTTGGCCACGCTGGCCAGCGCCTCCTGCTTGGCGCTGGAAGACAGGCTGTTGAACCACTGGGACAGCTCGCACAGCTCCGCCTCCTGGCTGCCGGCCCTGCCGTTCAGCGCGCCCTCCAGCTCCTGCAGGCCCACCGCCGGCTCGGCCAGGCCAGGCGCCTGGTGCGCACGCGCCTCGGGCAGCGGCGGCGGAGGCACCAGCAGGGCCAGATCCCTGGCGGTGGGAAAAGGCGCGCTGTAGTCGACTGCAGGGCAGCGCGGAGGGCAGGGAGCGGCGCTGATGGGGTGGTGAGCAGAGCTGGGTGCACAGTGTCAGCAGGCGGTTCAGCGCGTCGGGTGCAGGCGCACCGGGCACCAGGACCACAGGCAGGCAGTTGAACGTCTTGCTGAGGAACTCGAGCGTGCCCTGGTCGATGGTGGAGAAGTTGCCAGCGTGCATCAGGTACCTGCGGCAGCATCGCAGGCCAGGCGGCCGCTGCGCCGTCGGTCAAAGCAGCGAAGCGCCGGCTAGCCAATGAACGGCGCTGCAGGCCGGCGCCAGCTCTGCACGCCCTATTGACAACCGCGCGCAGTGGCTCTGGGGCCGGGGAACGTGTTCCGAGGCAAAGCCGGGCAACGCGCGCTCACTTTGGGACCCAGTCGGGCTGCTGTAAGGGCCCTGAAGCCTCCATCCCTACAAGGGAGCTTGCTTAAGCCGTATTGGGATTGACGACAAGAGGCGGGAGAGGGAGGCGGCTGGCCATCCAACCACCGCCCGCGCCGCCACGTCAGCGAACAGGCGCCGAACGAACCCACATTACAGGCAGATGCAAATCCATGTCCGCTCTCCACCACCACATTGTATTAGCCAATGCTTGGAATACACGCCCAGGCTGCCGTCAGGCTTTACACTGAGATGCCGTTGCGGCAGGCCAACCACAGAGCGCACGCCGGCCTTGCAACTGCGGTCCCGGGATGCAGGAAAGTCACAGGATGAGGCTCTCAATGGCCTCCGCCACGCCGCCGCTGTCGTTGTCAGCCACCACCAGCTGCGCCGCCTGCTTGACCCGTTGCACCGCATTGCCCATCGCCACCCCCATCCCTGCACCCGCCACCATGCCCAGGTCGTTGCTGCCATCGCCGACGGCCACCAGGTCGCTGGCGGGCACGCCCCAGTGCTCCAGCAGCTGCTGCATGGACCGCCACTTGTCCCACCCGCTCGGCACCACCTCTGCAGGCAGAAGGAGGTCACGCCGTGCAATCGTGGCCATGTGGGGGGCTACGGTTCAGAGCTGTCCTCCAATGCACCTGCCACCCTACGCGTGTCACAGCAGCAGGCAGCGGCATATCTGGTGAGTAGACAGCCCCATGCACCCACCCCACTCGCCAAGCAGACACCAGCACCCAGCTTGCCGCCCACCAGCCCACCCACCCAGCATGTCTGGCACCGCCTGCATCGTCTCCGCCTCCGTGCCCTCCAGCGCCGCGCGCCAGTGCGGCTTGAGGTGCCCATCCACCACCTCGGCCCGCGTCATGAACAGCAGCTTGCGCAGCGGCGGGCCCCGCATCACCTCGTCTATCGAAGCCACAGAGGCCAGGGGCTCGTAGTACCTGAAGGGACAGCAGCAGAGGGGCAGGGCAGCTGGTCAAGTAAGCCGATGAGCCCAAGCTCGACGGCGCATGGAGCAGGCAGATATGGGGGAGACACGCAGGCGCAGGCAGCCGGCCCGCCCGCCCACACTCTCACACCCCTACACTCCAGTCGCTGCCCCGCGTCCAGCACCCACCTGGCGTGCAGCTCCTGCAGCTCCGGGTGCATCTTGTGCGTCACACACTCCTCGCCCAGGAAGCCGCACACGGGCACGTCGTGGGCCGCCGAGAATTCAAACGCCGCCCGCGCCACATCCGCCGGCAGCTGGCCGCCGGCAATCAGCTCCCCGCCGCGCCCGTACGCCGCCAGGCCTGCACACGGCACCCATGGCCAGGCACGCGCGCGCGCCGCGCCCGGATGTGGGCCCCAGCGCATCACACCAGCCACGGCAATGCACGCAGGCGGCAGGCAGCCGGGGAGCTGCCTGCCCTGCACGCCCCCAGCCAGCACCCACCTTGCAGGAAGATGCCGGGCCCGCGGGTGCTGACCACCAGCCCCTCGCCCGCCAGCCCCACCGCCTGCATGGCGCAGATGGCGGCGGGGCGCGCCTTGCCGGTGGCCAGGAAGACGGTGACCCCTCGCGCCATCGCCGCCTTGATGGCAGCCACCGAGGAGGGCAGCACCCGGCTGCGGCTGTCCAGCAGCGTGCCGTCCTGCGGGGACAGGCCAGGGAGGAGGCGCCTGGGCGGTTGTGGCAGGTGCAGGAGGCAGGCACGCGGGAGGCCCTGCTGAAGACGTATGTGAAGGCGAGGCCAGGCGAGGCCAGGCGAGGCAAGGCAAGGCATGCCAAGGCAATGGCGTGCGCCCTGTGCAAGTAAGCAAGCAAGCAAGCTAGCAAGCAATGCGCCGCAAGGGCGCAAGCGCATCGCGCGAGCAGGGGCTGGCCCGCCTACCATGTCCAGCGCAAGCATCTGCGCCTCGGCCCGCGTGCGCCAGCGCCTGATGCGTCCGTCGGCCTCCGCCGCCTGCTGGGCCCCGCCCGACGTGGAGGCGCCTCCCTCTGGAGAGTGCAGCAGGGGCCCTGCACGCAGGCCAGCCCTCCCTGTGATCAGATGGGCCTGAGAGCAGGCGCCAGGTGCAGGTGCAGGTGCGATCGTTCGTTACACCGGCAAACACAACGGACAAACGTGATAAGCGCATGCCGAAGGTCTGGTCAAAATAGTGGACAAAAACTGGCGCGTTTGCTCAGCCAAAAGGGGCCAGGGCACTGCCGCAGCCCAGGCCGATGCGTCACCCACCTCTGCCGCCGCTGCTGCCGCTGCCGCCCTCGCCGTCGCCATGCACGCCGTCGCCGCTGCCGGCCGCCGTGATCAGGCCCTGCCCCTTCCAGCCCAGCGCTCTGAGGATGTGCTGCTCCGCCGCAGCCATCTCCTCAGCCTCCTCCTCGCCTGCGCCAGTGCGCACGGGTGCACAGCAGGTGAGCGCCAGGTCAGCAGCGCCAGGTCAGCAGCCCATTCCAGCACGCATGATGGGCAGCTGACCCCAGTTTGGAGCAGCTCTTGCCGCCCCCCAGGGGGGGGCCCAGCCCAGCCTCCCAGACCGCCAGCTCAGCCCAGCCCCCACCAGCCCTGCTCACTTTCTTCGTGGTCGTAGCCCAGCAGGTGCAGCACGCCGTGCACCAGCAGCACGCGGCTCTCATCCAGCAGCGACTGCCCCCGCTCTGCCGCCTGCCGTGCCGCCGTGTCCAGAGATATCACCACATCGCCCAGCACGTTGATGGGCAGCTGCGGGGCGGCGGCGGCGGCGGCGTGGTTTAGCGGCGGTGTGGTTCAGCGGCAGGCAGAGGAAGGGGCAGCGGCGAGGCGAGGCGGCAGGGTGAAGCGGGCAGGAAGGGGGGGCGTCGCCGGCTGTGCAGGTGGGGGAGGCATGCCGGCGGCCGTGCAGCGCCACGCGCCCACCTCTGGCGCGCCGCCCTCCGCATCCTCATCGTCGTCATCCTCCAGCTCAAACGACAGCACATCGGTGGGCGCATCCACGCCCCGCCACTCCGCGTTCAGCCCCCGCATGTGCGCGTCATCACACAGCACCAGCGACAGCTCCAGTGGGGCTGCAGCCAGCGAGATCAGCGGGCACCGTGAGCGGCAAGCAAGCGCTTCGGCGGCTGCCCGGCAGATGGAGGCGCATCGCAGCCCGGTTGTGCGAACGGCGGCGGCAGCGCGGCGCTTCCCTGCCAGCTGCAGGCGCGGCTCGGCCCCACCTGGCGGCTCCTCCCGCTCCTCCTCCTCCTCCCCCAGCAGGTACAGCGCCGCCTGCTTCACCGCCGCCAGGCTGTCGTTGTACAGCGCCTCGCACAGCGCCTCCAGCTCCGCCTCGCTGCACCCAGGGCGGGGCCGCGGCCATAGGCAACGGGCGGGCGACCAGGGTGAGCAGGCGGGCATGCTGACTGCCGCACAAAGGGATCAAGCCAGCTATGGTCTTGCTGCAGGTAGAAGGATGCATGATGCCACCATGCATGAGGCGAGCCAGCCGCAGCCAAGCGGCCGCGCGCACCTGACGCCGGCTGGCTCTCCCTCCACCATCACCCCGGCCTCCGCCTCGATGTCATCTGCTGTGAACGCTCTCGCTGGCCAGCGCGAGCTGTGCAGCTGCTGCCGTGGCTGCAGGAGCACGCAGCTGCCGCCAAAGGGAGGCAGCCCGCCGCCACCGCCACCAGCGGCAGGGTGCCACGGGTTGAGAGCGGCAGCAGAGGCGGCGGCTGGCGGCTGATGGCGTTCGCATGGCTGTGCGCCGCCTGCCAAAGCAGCCAGGGAGCGGCGGAGGCCTGGCCGGCGCAGCACCTGCCCAGCCGCAGGGCGGCAAAATCCGGCTGCAACGCCCAGGCACCGCTGTAGCGACCCCATGACCTGCATCGGAACACTAGTTCAAATGGCAACAAGGAGCGAGAGTGGAGTGATGAGCTGGGATGGGCCCATCTGGCAAACCATTCCGCCATTGGTTTTCGCCTCGCATTGCAACGGGCTTGGTACCAGAAGTGATCACCACGACGCACAGACCCTCTCTGGGCCTGGGGCCTCGATATCCTCCTGACTCGATCGCCTCTCTCTGACCAGCTGACCCCCAGCTCCTTGGAACGGCCTGACACAGGTGTGGCGACCACTGGAGACCGCACGAGTACCCAGCGTGGCCGTGGCAGCCTCCTGCACCACCTCGGCCTGGCCCAGCGACTGCGCCGCCGGCTTTGCCGCTACGCACACCTCGGGCGCCGCCGATTCTTGATGGCTCCCGTCCACGATGCCCTGTTGCAGGCAGGGAGATGGCGAGCGCGGCGGCGCCACAGGATGCCGCCTCACCCGCGGCAGCCGCTGCTAGTGCCGCCGCCGACGAGTCGCTGCCCGAGCTGCCGCTGTTCAGCTGCAAGGAGGCGTACGTGTACCGCGTACCGCCCGCCACCAACCACCAGGCAGAGACATGGGATGTCAACAACTGGGTGAGGCAGTGCACGCAGCAGCATCTCCTCGCGTGCTCACAGAGTGCACGCTGTAGCCGGCTGATGCATTCCGCTCCACCCCACAGCCGGTTCACGCTGCCTGTCCGCAGCTCGCCACCGTCAGCTTGAAGGTGGTGCAGGCGGATGACGACGCGTACGTGCGGCTGCTGGCAGACAAGACAGGTCTGTCCCCTGTCTGTCGGAAGGGCCTTGGCAGCCGGAGCTGCGCCCGCGGTACCACCAGCCTGCCGCCCTCATCCGGCGGCGCATGCGCTCTGGACCTCCACACCGCGCACCCCCGCCCCGCCTGCAGGCGAGCTGTTTGCCGAGTGCCCCGTGCCCGTGGACAAGCCCCTGGTGACGGCCGTGGAGCCGGTCATCGACTCCAGCCGCTACTTTGTGCTGCGCATCGTGGACAGGGACTCGCAGCGCCACGCCTTCATCGGTAGGTGGGCCGCGGGCGGAGCGCCCTTGTCGCTGCGTGTGCTGCCAGAGCGGTGGCGGCGGCAGGCCCGGCGGCAGTGCCACCGCCCCGCTTCGTATGTTTGCGGTACTAGAGGTGGCGCCGGCACGGCCACGTCTCCCCTCTCAGCGCAGATGCGGATCACGGCCTGCCGGCCTGCCTGCCAGCCTGCCTGCTCCCACGCCTGGGTGAGTGTGGTGTGGCTGGTGCCCGCACGCCTCCCACAGGCATCGGCTTCCGCGAGCGCAGCGAAGCCAGTGACTTCAACGCCACGCTGCACGAGTTCCTCCAGGTGAGGCTAGAAGGGGCTTTGACGCTGCTGCCGCGCCGCTCCACTTGGCTGCTTGGCCGGGTTGGGGCTGGGCTGGTGCTGGGCTGCACTGGGCTGGTGCTGCTGCTGCGCACCCCCTGTGCTCTGCGCTGCCGAGGCAAGTCAGCTGCCGTGGGCCGCGCGCGTGCCGCCTGCAGTACATCAAGCGCAAGCGTACCGCCGAGGCGATGAGGCACGCGTACGAGGAGCGCATGCAGTCGGCGACGGAGGAGGCGGCCAGCCTGGGGCAGGCGGCCGCTGCGGCCATGGCGGCGCCTGCGGCAGGTGCGGCAGCGCCGCACGCCAGCAGGGGGGGTGGTCCTGGCGTGGCATTCAGCTGACTCGCCGGCACCTGACAGCCGCCGCCCGCCGTCTTCCTTGCTCCGGCCCCTGAGCGCCACCGCGCTGCTGCAGCTGGCCCCTCACGCCTGCCGCCTGGCCGCGTGCTGGCGCCCCCACCGGCACGCCCCCACTGCAGACTATAGCATCAAGGAGGGGCAGACCCTGCACCTCAAGATATCCGCCCCCGAGCCCGTGTCCCGCGGCTTTGTGAGCCGTGCGGCGGCGCGGGGCCAGCTGGGCAAGACCTTCAGCCTGCTGATGGACGGGCACGGCGGCGCCGTGGCCGCGCTGTCGCCGCCGCCCCGCGCCGGCAGCAGCCCGCGCCTGGAGATGTGTGTGAGCCCCGGCCTGGACGCCGGCGGCGGCAGCCCCATGCACACTGAGGGCAGCGGCGGGGCGGTGAGCGTGGGCGGCGGCAGCGGCGGCGGCACGCCCGGCCGCCTGGGGCGCGTGTCGGGCATGGGCGACGCCGAGCTGCAGCACCGGCTGCAGGGGCTGCACCTGCAGCAGCAGGCGGGCGGCGAGGCGTGCAGCAGCGCGGCCAGCGCGGCCAGCGCGGCCAGCAGCTCCACGGCGGCGCTGCCGGCGCTGGAGGATGACGACTTTGGGGACTTTGAGGAGGCGCCCGAGCCGGGGCCGCAGCGGCAGCCAGATGATGGGCGGGGGTGACGGGACAGGCGGCGGCGTGCCAGGAGCGGGCAGCTTTGTCTCGCCGCTTTTGATCGGTGCTTCCTTGTTGCTGCTCGGTTTCGATCGCTCCCATTGTACTGTCCCTGTTTGATTCTGCACAGTTTTAAGGCATTTTGTGCTTTGAGTGAACAGACACCCGGGTGATGGGAAGAGCTGCAGGAAGCTCATCGGGAATCACGATGAGTGATGACAGCAGGAATGGTGCCGGCCCGCCACGAGCTGCACAGAATCTTGCCCCTGCCTATCGAAAATTTCGATTGTGCCCCGTGCCCCTGCTGCTCATGCATCCAGATATGGTGGGAGCGGCTGGCGCCAGGCGCCCGCGCCGCCTGGCTATCGCCAGCGGCTCGTGCGCACCGCCTCCAGCCGCGCCCGGCCCGCAATGCCGAGGGTTCTGCCACTTGGCTCAGATGTGGTGCTCTTGGAAAGGAGCAATGTTTTTTCGGTACCTAGTGTAATGCAAGCAGTGAGGCATGATGAAGCAAATGATGAAGCAGCGGATGCGGAGAGCGGTGGCGCCAGCAGGCCCAGCAGCCCCAGCAGGAGCTGCCAAGGGAAGCGCTGTGGCCCGAGACACGGTTATTACCTCGCAAGTCTGGTGAGCGTTGCTGCGCCAAATAGTGCGGCGAGGGTTTCACTAAACCGAAACCCGGCCTCCCACACTGCTGCCTCTAAGCGCTCAGCCTTGTCTCACGGCTGCACACTTGCTTCCATTGGGGTCTTGCGCCTCGTCCGCCGCACATTCGCTAGCCGCCGGCGTCCGCCCCGGCGCACTGCCTCCCGTCCCGCCACGCCCCGCCCGCCCCAGCCATGAGCGGGTTCACGCTGACCAGCCAGCTGCCAGCCGCCCGCGGCAAGGAGCTGTGGACCCTGGATGGCCTGCTGGGCGGCCGCCTGTCCTCCTTCCCCGTGCGCATGACCATCATCCGGCTCGGCGGTAGGGGCCTCCTGCTGGTCTCCAGCTTCCCTCCCACGCCACAAGTGCTGGCTCTGCTGCGCCCCCTGGGCGAGGTCCGGCTGGTGCTGGCCCCCAACGCCATGCACTGCCTGTGGGGGGCCCACATGCGGGACGCCTGCCCCGGCGCGGTGCTGGCGGGACCGCCCAAGGCGGCGCAGCGCTTCCCGGCGTCCCGGTGGGACGTCGTCGTCGGCACCCCGCACGACTTTGACGCACTGCTGGCGCAGCTGGGCCTCAGCCCGCGCGGCCAGGAGGTGCAGGTGTGGACCACCATCCAAGGTGGGCGCGCCGCCGCCGCCGCCGCCGCCGCCCTGCGCCGCGGCCCAAGACGAGACCTGCTGCCGTGCCGTGCCATGCCGCGCCTTGCTTGGCTGCGGGACGAGCATGGCCATGCTGGCAGCTGGCAGCTGTGCCTGGGAGCTGGCACCCGCGGGTGGGCCCTCGCCTGCTCGGCCGTGCCCATGCGCCTGTGCCCGCTCGCCTCCCGGCCGGCTGCCCCCGCCCTGCAGCCAATCCGTGGATGCAGGAGGTGGTGCTGCTGCACCGCCCCTCCAGGGCCCTCATCCTCACAGACCTCGCCTTCAACTTCCAGCGGGGAGGAGGTGAGCGAGCGGAGCCCGCTGCGCACGCTGGGGGCGGGCCCGCGTCTCGCAACGACGACGGCTGGCCGCGACTCGCAGGGGCGCCCTGCGGTCGCGCGGCGGGGCGGCGGCCCGCCCCTGAGGCGCGCCTGCACGCTCCCTCGCGCCTCGCTGCAGACACGCCGCTGCCGGGCGGGCCGCTGGGCGCGGTGCTGCGCAGCACGTACCTGCGCCTGGCCGGCGGGTACCGCACCTGCTGCCCCACCACCCCCGTGCGATGGCTGCTCAAGGACGCAGGTGGGCGGAGCCTGCCAGCTGCCCTGCACCTCTTCCTCGCGGCGGCCCTTGCCCCTGCACGCATCCGTGGCTGCGGGGCGCTCCCCGCTCCTCTGCCACCTCCCGCCACTCCTCTCGCGCATATCAAGGGCCTGCAACCCATGCCGCCCGCATGCAGACGCCATGTGTGCCATCGTGGACGCCATCCTGCTCTGCGACTTTGACCAGGTGCCCGGGCTGCTTGCGGCCCGGTGGCTTGCGCCAGCGCCTGATGTGTGTGCCACGTTGCTGGCAGGCTGCTGCAGTTGCCCCACTCCTTTGTGCCTGGCCCTCAGGCAGAGCTGCCCATGCGGCCGCCCCCACGCCACACCACCCTCCCTTCCCCTTGCGACAGGTGGTGGTGGCGCACGGGGACGTGGTGGCGCCTCCCGACGGCAAGAAGGCGTTCACAGAGGGCGCCGCCGCCTTCTTCCGGGACGCGGCGCGGCGCAGGCGGGAGAGCAGCGAGGGCGGGGCGGGCAGGCAGCGCGCCTACCTGGCCGCCGCGGCCGTGGCGGGCACAGCCGTCGCGCTGGCCGCGTGGTGGAGGGCGGGGCGGTAGCGGCGAAATGCATGTACAGGGGGTAGAGCTTCGGGCAGCTGCCCGCTTCATTTAGTTCTGTGCGCCGGTGCTTTACTGTCCCAGCATGGCTCTGAGCTGTACGGCAGGCGATTACAACTTCTTGCAGAAGCAGACGTCAAGAACGTGCCCTTTCTTGCGATGTGCGAAACCCTCAAACTCAACAGGGTTGGTCCATGCAATGGGCGAGGTGGTTGCAGGCCGCGATGGGTGCGCAGAGAGAAGCTCAGCTGGCAGCGCTCAACAGGTACAAGGCTTTATTAGCGAATGAACAGTGAACAGAAGGAAAGAGAACAGAAGGAGGTCGAGAATGACAGAGCAGGGCACCACAGGGCAACTGGGGCCCAGAGCAACTGAGCGGGCAGGGTGACAATGGGGGGCCGCCTGCGCGCTGGGCGCAGCCACGCGCTGCCCAGCCCGGCAGCAGCCCTCACTGCCGCTGCCGCTGCTGCTGCACGGCGGCGGGGTTGCCCAGGGCGTGGTCCCGCAGCACGCCGTTGAGCAGGTAGAGCCAGATCTGGTAGGCGCCAGGCTGGCACCAGTGCGTGCACTCCCCCGGCATGTGCGAGTCCCAGAGCCCCACGCTGGCCTCCCAGGTCGCCAGGTGCGCGTCCGCCAGGCGCGGCACCAGGCGCGCGGCGGCGGCGTTCCACGTGCCGCCCGCCCGCGCCGTCGCCTCGCCGCGCTGCCACGCCGCCAGCGGCTCGCACGACTTGGCCCGGAAGCTGCCCGTCCAGTAGCCGGTACCGGGGAAGTGCTGCGGCGGGGTGTCCATCCACACCGTCTGCGGCAGGCTGGCACGGTTGCGGGCGCGCCAGCGCGCCAGGCGCCGCAGCTCTCGCACGTACTTGGAGTCAGGGCCCAGCACCTGGCAGTCGTCGTCGGTGCACATCACATCCTCGTAATAGTGCAGCCTGCAGGTCAGAGGGAAGAGGGGACGGGCACGCGCACCAGAGGCAGGCCCGGGCAGGCGCGTTGGGTGGGCCTTAGCCAGCAGGACGGCGGTCGGGACCGGCGGGCCACACCACACGCCAGCAGGCGCACATGCCGGCGCCGCCCCGCTGCATCTCAGCGCTGCAGGCCCCCTCGCCGCGCGCCCGCTGCTGGCCGCCGCCCGCGTGCAGGCCGCCTCCCCGCCCGTCGCCCTCACCCCGCATTCATGACCACCAGGTCTTGCTGGAAGCCTGGGGAGTGCTGGCGCAGGGTGGGCAGCACCACCTCCTGCAGCTCCCGGGCATAGTCCACCCGCACCACGCACACCCGCGTCCCCTGCGCCAGCTCCAGGCACACCGGCGGCACGGGGTAGGGCTTGTAGCAGCGCTTCAGCTCAGCCAGGGTCAGCAGGTCGACGAGGCGGCGGCTGGGCAGCGGGTCCCTGCGGGGTGGAGAAGGCAGCGTGCGGAGGCAGGCCGCTTGATCACAGGGCCGGGAGGGAGGAGGCCGGGCGGGGAGGGAGGCCAGCGGGCAGCGTGCGCCGCCGCGCGGCAGGCGAAGCGCAGGCAGGCAGAGGCGCGGGAGGGGGCGGCTTGCGGGGCGGCGGCACGGCACCCACGTGCGGCGCAGGGAGGGCGCAAACTCTCGCAGGAAGCACTCCAGCGCATAATAAAAGTGCCAGGTCTGGGAGTCGCCCAGCAGCCACAGCGTGCGGCCGCGTATGCGCTGGAACAGCTCGCATGGGGAGAAGTCCTGCGGGCGGGGCCAGGTGAGGGACTTGGGCTTGGGTGAGTTGAGAACAGCGCCACGCCGGCAGGCAAAGCCACAGGCAGGATGCGGCGAGGGCGGCAGGGTGCTGGCTGAGCACAGGCCGGGAGGCATGCCGCGCCAATGGCTGCCAGCCGGCAGCAGCAGCACATGGTGCCGGCATGGCACGTCGGCCCCTCGCCGCCACCAGGCCCCGCCACCAGGCCCCGCCTCGCCTGCAGACGGTGGCCTGCCGCCGCAAACTGCGCCGCCGCCTGCTCCGACAGGTTGCGCCCAGGGTAGTGGCTGTAGCAGAAGCGGTGCTCAAACTGGCACACCCCGCAGCAGAGCTGGGGCAGCGCCTCCAGCGTGCAGCCGTCGTCGGCTGTGGGGCAGTGAGAGCAGGTGCGGCGCTTGGAGGGCAGCACCTCCTGCCGCAGGTCAAACAGGAAGGGCGGGGCGGCGGGTGGCGGGCGGGGGGCGGGGGCAACCACCCCTGCGGTGCAGGCGGTCAAAAGGGGCGGCGATGGTGGATGCATGGGCGAGGGACCAGCAGGCAATGCTTGCCCAATGCCAGCACAAGTAGCGGGGCGCAGGCAGAGGCGCACCATCGGGGTGCAGCGAGCAGGCAGACTGCGGCGTGCGGTACACGCTGCCCGGCGATTGCTGCCACTCCTCGATGCTGCCCACCACGCCGACCTTACTGGCTGCTGCCTGCGGCGCCGGCAAGCCGGCTGGGCGCTGCTGTTGCTGGCGCTGCGTAGCCCCCACCGCCGCTGCCGACGCACTGGTGCGCTGGGTCTGCCAGGCGTGGCCCGTCAGGCTGCGCCCAAGGAGGGTGAGCACCACGCACAGCGAGAATACCAGCGCCACTGCCACCTCGGGCCGCCGCCAGGGCGCTGACACCATCGGCTCGCGGTGGGTGGGTGAGTCGTCCTCAGCGAGGAGCGGGGAGGCGCAGTGCGGCGCTCCCATCCTTGATCAATGCATGCCGCCCAATGTTGCAGCCCCAAACGATCGTCGGCTCGAAGTTTGAGAGCTGTTGAAGATGGCGCAGCACGCAGCAGGGAGGGCGCTGGCATCGCCCAGAATGAACGTTTGCTTGATCCATCCGAGCATGCCTCCTGTGCACCAGGCAGAGACGGGCCAAGGCCTTGTGTATGTTGTATGGTGATGATGTGAATCGAATGAAGAGTTCCTGCAGGTAATTCAGCCCGTGCCTCTGCCCCCGACAGGAGCAATTTAGGATAATCCACGAGGGCTGTGCATTGAAGTCAGGGAGGTCAAGACCCCCGGGGCTCGCCGCAACTCCCCCCCGGCGGGCACCTGCACTGGTCGGTATGCACCGCGGCGGCAACCACCGCACCACTTCCATCACTCCGTGGGGCCCAACAGCAGGGCCCAGGCGCTCAGAAATGGTTGCTTTCACTCCAACAAGCAGTAGGGACAAACCGCCCCCAAGCATGGGGGCAGCTTGATGGCGTGCGCCGCTCGTCATCAACCGTGCTCACCCACCGCTTGCGCAGCACGGATGGATAGCGCGCGTCGGAGCCATGAAACGTCGGCCAGGCCTGCCGCGGGCGTCAGTTGTTGCCCGCGCCCTGCCTCCAGGCTCTGCCCGGCCAGCGGTCGGCTGTCGACAACGACGCTGCTCCCGCTGCAGCGGAGTGGGAAGCGACGCCTTGCACGGGTGCCAGGAGCCGGAATTGGGGCGGGATCTCCCCGCTGTTCCTGTTCTCCATCGCCATCGGGGCTCCAGGTGTGGCGTAATGCTCAGGATGTGAGACTTCAAAATCAAAATGGTAGTAAATTCCCTCGCCTTCCACCTGCCATCCATCTCTTGGCCCAAAACACTTAGCGCCCCTGCGCCCCGCACCCACCCACATTCTTCCTAGGGGCACTCAGCAGCCTTTTGCGCGGCCAATCCGTGGCAAAGGGCTCCGGCAGTGCTCCACGCCTAGACCTAGCGACGCAGAAACGGCCGCCTCGGCGCGCCAGCAGCTTTACATCTAGCCTAGCAACCCTGCAGCAGCTCGATCAGGCGCCAGCTTCCACTGTTGCAGCCATTGTTGTGTGCGCAACTTGATTCAGACCATGATGTTGCGGAGGGCGCCCCTGACTGGCCAGCGTTGCGGCAGTCTGGCGTCCCAACGACCCCTGCGCCGCGGGGAGACTCTGCCAAGGGCCAGCCGGGCCTCCAGGTGCGTGGCTGGGGGTGCCTGCCGTTGGCTCAGCTGGCCCACCCCGCCCCCAGCCCGCAGGCGGCCGCATGTCAAACACCCACACCCTTGGTGCAGGTGGAGGGGGCTGTTGGAGGCCGACGACGCCGCCCTGGCTGTCGGCGACGACAGCACCAGCCCCGCAGACCTGGCCGTTGAGGCCGCCCGTCAGGTGGCTGAGAAGGCCTTCAGCCAGCCCACCTACATGTACGTGGCTGTGGATGACGACGAGGAGGAGGTGGGTTGGGGCCTGGCCGCCCCGCAGCCCCAGCTGCCAACTCGAACCAGCAGCCATTCAAGCGGGGCCGCCATGCGACGCCGCCCTGCGCCCGCCCCAGCTGCAAGCCTGCTGCTGCACGCCGCCGGGCGCAAGGGCAGCGCGCTGCGCAGGCCCCGCCCCGCCGCCGCGCCGCGCTCACGCCGCCTGCACCCCCCCGCTCCGCTGCCTGTAGCAGGAGGTCGTGGACCGGCTGTGGCGCAAGCTGGATGCGGTGAATCGCGAGCTGGCCTGGGTGACAGAAGCGGAATACCTGAGCGGCCTGCCCACCTCCCCGCCGACCTCGCCCCGCCTGCACCAGCCGCTGGCCGTCAACAACGTGGTGCTGCACCCGCACAACCTGCCCACACTGGCGCCGCCGCCGCCGCCCGTGGCGCCGCCGCCGCCGCCCGCCCCCGAGCCGGAGCGGCAGCGGCAGCCGGAGCGGCAGCCGGAGCGGGTGGTGCTGCCCGACACGCCGCGCTTTGAAGGCCTGCCCGGGGGCGGCAAGGCGGAGGGCACCGGCAAGGAGGTGCTGCTGCAGGTGCGCCGGTGGTGGCCCCACCTGTGGTGGCCCACGCAGTGCCGTGTGCCCGGCGCCGGGGCAGGGCGCGGCGCTGTACGCAAGGCCGCGGTGCCGCACGCAAGGCCGCGCCGCCCTGCCTGCCCGTGCCGCCGCCCTGCTGCTCCTCTCGGTGCTGCCTGGCTCACGACACCGCGGCGCCCGCCGCCCGCCCGCCGCGCCGCAGGGGTTCAACTGGGAAAGCTGGCGCAACAACTGGTTTGAGCACATCTCGGGTCAGGCGCAGGAGATTGCCGACATGGGGTTCACATCCGTCTGGCTGCCGCCCTTCACCGGTGAGCGCCGCCGCCGCAGGCGCTCCCGCAGGCACAGCCTCTCCCGGCACACCGCAGCCGGGGCGCGTAGCCGGGAGTGCGGGCAGAGGAGCGCGCACCCGGCTCCGGGGCGCCGGCCAGCCCCCGCCACAGATGCTGCGCCGCTCTTCCGGCCCAGGCCAGGCCCCTACCCTCTGCGCCAGCCTCACCCAGCCCTGCCCTTGCCTCTCCCCCTCCCTCCACCCACCCGCCCTCCCCCGCAGACTCTGTGTCTGAGCAGGGCTACATGCCTCGCGACCTGTACAACCTCAACTCCCGCTACGGATCGGAGCAGCAGCTGATCAAGTGAGGCGCGGCGAGGCGCGCGTGTTTTGTGCCTGGGGTTGCCACTGCCTGGCCGCCGCTGCCTGCTGTTGCGCCGCGCTTGTGCCCCATGCGCGCGCGGCCCCTGCCGGCCCGGCTGGCAGCCCACTCACCGCCTTCCCGCTCCCTCCCCGCCCCCCTCCTCCCCGCCCCGCAGCTGCGTGCGCTCCCTGCAGCAGCACGGCATCAAGGTGCTGGGAGACGCGGTGCTGAACCACCGCTGCGCGCAGCACCAGGGCGCCGGCGGCGTGTGGAACCAGTTTGGCGGCAAGATGACGTGGGACGAGCGCGCCATCGTCGGTGCGCCCTCGCGCCGCCCGCCCGCCAGCGCTTTGGGGGCGACTGTGGAGGCGCCGCCGCTGCGGCTCGGCCCAGCCCTGCACTGTCTGTCCCACATGCCCATCTCGCGGGCGGCCCCTCGCCACCGTTCCAATCCTGACCCCCCTCCCTGCCCCTGCCCTCCCTCCCTCCCCCTGCAGGCGACCAGGCGGAGTATGGCGGGCGCGGCAACCTGTCCAGCGGCGAGTTCTTCTCCGCTGCCCCCAACATCGACCACTCCCAGCCCTTTGTCAAGCGGGACCTGTGCGAGTGGATGTGCTGGCTGCGGGAGCACGTGGGATTCTACGGGTGGAT